CGTCCTCGTCCTCTCGGTCACTCCTTATTTTTCTCCGTCTCTTTAACTGCAGTGAATCACAGAGTGGAGTTGGTCAGAACTTTGTTCTCCTTCAGCTCCGTCGTCTCTGATTGGCTGTCGTTTGAGGCTGATTTAAAACCATTCTGTCTTCACCGAGGTTCACACATTAGACAGTGAGGTTTGATGGATATGTAGTCACTAAAAAAAAACACACACACTTACACACACACACACCTTTACATGCTGTTGAAGTAGCGTCTCGTTCTAGAAGATGTGACCAATTTCCAAGGAGAAAAATGTTTTCCAGAGGAATTCAGTGGAGGGATTACAACATTCCTGTTGGGAAGACTGTTTGGTTTCACATTAAAATGTTTGTGTGAAGCAACGCGGTGGTTTGGAAAGAGGAAACTTATAAACGAAAAAATGAGAATAATAACACACTGGGACGTAGTGTCGGTCCCCTGTGGACGGAGGAGGAACTTCAGGTTTTCAAGATGTGGTTTGAATTTTGGATTAGATTTATGGTCAAATTAGAGTTAGATTAAGGATTAAGATTATCTGAAGTCAGGGTAGGGGTCTGGGGAGTGCGTTGTCTGTGAGAAGTGGTGGTGTGTGAGCAGTACAGACGCCCTGTCTGCGTCTGAGGGCAGCGCCCCCTGATGGGTGAAAGAAATGTGCAGGTGTGAAAAGACAACATTTAACCCCAGGAACAGGGGATTGTGGGAAAAGGCAGCTAAAACCAGGACAGAAGTAGGACAGGGGGGTCGAGGAGGGGGTCGGGGGGGGTCTGGGCTGTTGTGTTGGACGTGTGTCAGTTACTGAGCTCCTTCCTCGACTCACATCAGAGAGGCTTAGGAGAGCTTTCCCGCTACAGAAAACCCCAGCAGTGCCTGAAACACGCAGTCGTAAATCTCTCACCACGTCGAGCCTTCCTGGAGAGTCAAACTTGATTTCTAATCCATCACGACGCCCTCTTCCCTCGTTACAGCCTTTATTTAAATCAACAATTACTTTCCATCACGACGTCCTCCACGGAGTTGTTCACTGACAGGAACGGCGGCCGCAGATCTTTCAGGATTTTTCTCCAGCGTTGTGGTGCTAGCCTTCGTGGCGGCACTTCTCCACTTGGCTGCGATGAAACGTATTGGGGGCTGGAAGACAGATAGAGGGACAGATGATGGGATTAAAGAGTTTGTTAGGAGACAGATTGAAGACTTCCAACCCCTCCTACAGATCCATCTACGTCCGTGGCCGTGGGCTCCGTGTGTGTGAGACAGAAACTGTCGTGTGTTTGTGCAGGTGTTTCAGTGTGTGTGTGTGAGAGTGTGTGTGTGTGCTGACACAGACGAAGCTTGTAAATGGATGGAGGGACACCTGTCTCCATCCGTCTGAGGGTGTGTGTTGGCAGAGTCGGTGCAGTGTCGTGTTCTCTCTCTGACTGCTTACATTTTAAATTTATCCCGTTTGGTTTGACTTTGTTTGGATGCTCTGTCTTCACCTTAAAAGCTTCTCTGAAAGTGTGCTCCTCGTGTCTCTAGGGGGCACTATGAATCCAATTTGTTAGTATAGTTAATGCGGTATCTGGCTTGCGTAAGTGTTGCTGTACACATCCAATAACCTAGGTAGAAAAAAGGCTAATTTTCTCTCTTAGCAGGTATCGTCTGCAAACAGTGAAACATTCTTGGATTATATTGAAAATTGAGTTTTTTGCAGTTATGCATTTTGTTGCTTGGCTAATGTTCATTTTCAAAGTTTATTAGCAGCTTTGAGTTCCAGTACTGCCCCCTACTGGGCGTTTTTTCTAATAGGAAACATTTTTAACATCTAATTTCTGAAACCCTGAAAGTTTAGGGCGAAAAAAAGAGGAAATCCACAGCGACAGCCGTTTCTGTGGACATAAGATTCCACTCACTGTTTCTGCACAGTTAAATCCCGATGTTTTTTTCCCCCATTTTCTTGCCAAACTGCGGTTTCATAGCAGAGTGATTTTATTAAATTTCTATCAACAGCTATTAATGTTTTCTCAAATGTAGAATGATGTGAACTGACATTTTTAAGTCTCCGCTTTCTTGAATGGTCAAGAGATACTACGTTCTGATCAAAATGTCAGGAGTTTCTCAGGGTGTTTTTCAGAGCGTCTGTTTTTATTCACTGTCCTTTTTGTCAGTGTTGCGAATAAAGCGAAGATTTAACGTTTTAAAAACCCAAAAATTCAATTTTTCTCTCTCCAATCTCTGCCTCCTCTGCTTCTCCCACACACTGGCTGCTGGCCACTGGTTCTGAGCCTGACAACATATTAGAGTCAGCTGCAGATGGAAATGGGACAGAGTGAGAGGAAGAGCGAAAGAAATGACAAAGAATTATTTAAAAAAAAAAAAAAAGAAGAAGAAGGGGAGGGACGTTAAAAACCGCTGGGAATAATTATGCAGGGAGTGAGTTTGAGGAGTGGAAAAAAAATCAGTTCTGGATCGGAGTAAACGTTAAACAAAGTTGTCATTTGAGGAAAGAGGAGGAGAAGTAATCCGTCGCAGGGATGAAGTGTTTTCTTGGGAAAAGTGACAGGAACCGTGACACTTACAGCACGTACGTATTTGCGCGCAGATGTACACACACATGCTCGCCGCGCCGTGACAGCTTGAGTCATGATGGCGGCGGTGGTTCCACTTAAGGCAGAGTTGGTGGAGAACCACCCTCATTATGTCTGCGGCCTTCTCACCTGTCAGAGTCAAACACTGCTGTCACGCCTGCCGTCTGTCACTTCACTCACATGTTGGTGTGGAATTAAAACATGTTCAGGGTGAAAGTGCACGTGTGAGCGGCTGCTGTAACAGGAGGAATAGATTGGACGAGGAGAAGTCCAAACTCTCAAATCACTGAAACAGTTAAGGATAATTATTGTTCTATCTTTGTAAAATGTTACAACGAGCTTGAATTGAAAAATGATTATTTCTTAATCAAAGCAAACGTTACATTTTGAACCACCGTGGAATTGAAACTGTGCAACAGGTTTTGATTTTTCCCCAAATATTTTCAGTGTTTCAGGAACTGGATTTCAGTCTTTAAATGAGGCAAAGAATCAGAAGTTTGACTCTGAGAAAGAAGAGAAGATTGAAATCAGACCAACCATAAAATCTCAACCCAACGTGAATGGAAACCTGTCAGAACATTTAAAAAAACTGAAAAAACTTTTTAAAAAGAACTGGATTTGATTTGTTAGACCAGACAAAGACAAAGAAGAAGAGAAGGAATACTAAGAGTTGGGATTCGAACCAGGGATCCAAATCCCACAACCTAATACGATACCTATCATGATACAGGGGGCAACGGTACGATGTACTGCGATACTATAGTCACGGCGTTATATCAAGATTTTTTTAAAACAATTTCATTGCAGGGAAAAGTAAAAAAAAAAGAACAATTTTCCTGAATATTTAATTGTTAATTAAAGAATGGATACAGTATCTTCCATCTTTTCTTATCATTATTATAGTTTAACAGGTTTCAATCATCATCATCTCACAGTGATAAACTTTTGTTTCTTCCTGGTTCTTAATTAAGTTTCCAACGTGTCTCGTTATATATTCAGGTCTGTCTCTCAGTCCAGTTCAGATTTATAATATTTGCCCATTTGATTTGGAGTTGTATGTGACGTCTTTGATGTTGACAAAGGAATGTAATTCTTTGGGAACTATTTTGGAGCCAGACAGGTGTGTCTTTGGAATCCAGACACGGAGGCAACATTGCTGCTGTGTCTGCGGAGACGGGCTCAAGCGTTTAGGGTCAGAACATGGAAGAAAGGGACGTAAATATAGAATAAAGTCTGGAATCTCAGCTGACAGCGTGGTGTAAATCCTTGGCCAGATTAGTGTTGGAGAAGCAGGTCCAGGTACTGTAACTGTGGGGGTCTCCTGAGTCTGAACTAAAAAGGAGGAGCGTTTGAATTTCTCCCTTAATCAAGCGCTCCGGGCTGAGATACAAACATTATTGAATTAGGTCGGAGTTAAGGAGTAAACTGCAGTCATTTGTTCTGCATTAACTCCTTTCTAGCACCACAGGCTGCAGGGTTCATTCTCAGTTCAAACACGACCAGCAGGTTACCTGTGATGTTGAGCCTGTGGTACGATACCAAGCAGACCGTGTTCTGCCGGGTTTGACAAGAGCAAGGCACACTTTCTCGTTTTGTTTTTCCTTTTTTCCAAACTGCTTTACCACACGTCTGTTTCTTCACAGAAGCTGAACAGAACATGTCAACTCCCATTTGTCATAGTGTAATCCATAAAATAGGCTGTGAAATCGTATAGGATTTAATCAGGAGTCTGTCTAACACCGTCTGGCTACAGAAGTTTAAAAAACAGCGGCTTCTTCTCTCCGTCTCTATCTTTAAACCGCCCGTGTCTCCTCCTGCCGTGCATCAAAATTGTAATGACAACTGTGTTTCTGCTTCGTGCTTTTAAATGTCCCCGCGGACGCCCGTAGATGCAAACAATCAGGGCTAAATTTAGTGCGATGCCTGTCAGATTAAAGAAGTAATAAAGACAAAGTCAAAACATGGTCCGTTATCCAGGTACTTTAACGTGGATCAATCTCCACCTGATTTCTATTCAGCTTGAAGCTTCTCAGGACTTAGATTGATCGATCGATTGGTCCTCTGGGTTTAACGAGTCCTCGATGCTGGTTTTTGTGATTAAAAAAAACAACAACAAACATCCGTGTTTGTCCTCTGCAGGTACGACTACGTGGAGATTCACGATGGAAACTCGGAGTCAGCTGACCTGATGGGGAGACACTGCAGCAACATTGCCCCCGCGCCCATCACATCGTCGGGACCCTCGCTCCACATCAAGTTCGTATCAGACTACGCACACCAAGGAGCGGGCTTCTCACTGCGCTACGAGATTTACAAAACTGGTATGATGATAATTCTGTTGAGTTTATTTTTATAACTGTTATTATTATACTACTGCAACTACTATTTTATTGATGCACAAAATAGAAAATGTTACAACCACTGAATTAATTGTTATTAATCTAGAGCTACTGAGAGAGAGAGGGAGGGAGGGAGGGAGAGAGAGAGTCCAGTCCATGTCCTCACTCTGACAGCACTGATCCTCCTCCTGGAGTTTATGGACTCCAGTGATCTCAAGAGGGCGTTATTTCTGTAAATGACCCCTACATGTGGACAGATTAGAAAATGAAGTGTTGCTTCTCTGCAACAAACAATTACCGGCTGCTCAGACACGTTAGCGTGCTTCATTAGATGCCCGGACCCCCCCCCCCCCGTGTCAGGGTGGACACAGAGGATGTGACCTTTGAGAGTTCCTTTGACATCCCTCTTCATGAAACCGTGCATGTGTGCACGTGCACATGCCCCCCCCCCCTTCCAGTACAGGATCAGCCACAGCGAGACCAATTGAGATCAAGGGCAAGTGAAACAGAGGGGCTCGAACTGTCGGCCCCTGAGCCATCTTGTCCCGTTCCCCCTGAAAGCATTCCACACATGCCGACTTAATTGAGTCCTGAGCGCTGCTCCCCTGTGACACGCACACACACAAACACACACAGGAGGGTGAGGTTACTAACACAACACGTGCTGTTGTCACAGTTCTTATTGCACTAGTCTGTAGGGATTTGGGGAGTGAGACACCCCCCGGTGGACGTTTAAACAACAGCGGTGTCAGCGACGACACCTTGGTGGAGATTTGTAAATTGAATAAGTGATTTTGGATTCATGACATTACTGTGAATCCTTCAGTCAAATGATACAGTCATGGCCCCAGCTGTTAGCAAGAGCTAACACCATTTAAGGTGCATGAGCAGTGAGCACGTTCAGGACAGAAGCCCAAGAAAGTAACTTGGTTACAAAACACTTTTATTTGGATCAAGTTTGTCAGGATTTTTTTTTTTCAAAATAATAAAATCCATCTTGTATATTTATTTAGAGAATTCATGATTAATTATTTTCACTGACGATTGTAGTCACGATTCATCATGAAAATCTGATGACGGTTCGTTGCTGCAGCGCCCTCTGCTGCTCTGGCCTTCTCTCTAGTCTCTAATTGTTTTGCTGCTCGTCTCTTTACTCTGTTAAATCGAGGTCTGTCTGTGACCTAGTCCTGTCTGTTATGGCTCTGACTTTTCAAATAATGAGACGACTGCATATGTGTGCGTGGGTGGGGGGTTTGTTAGAGGGAAACGTCCCCCACTCCCTGGGTGTCCTAATTACTGCATCACTTAAAAATTAACAATCCTGTTAGTCGTGAAGCGAGCTGACGCGCACATCGAGAATCCCACGCTAGACCCTGCACACGTGCGCGTGTGTGTGCTTTCTTCGTTCCACGTTTACGTCTGTGGATGTGTGTGTTCCTAAGCAGGACGAGAGTTTGCTAATGTTTACTACGTCGAAACACTGCTATAGATACTGTACAAGAACTAGGGCCAATAGGAGCGCGGCTACAACCAAGCAACAGCCAATCACATCCTACAGCCTAAGCACTCGCCCCCAGCTGTTATTGTGACCCAGAACTCAGCAGACAAGCACACGCTCACACACTCACTCACACACACACACAGACAGACGTATGAAGGCACTGATGCAGACTGAACCCTCAACAGCAGGAGAGTCTGTGCTGAAACACAGACACGTCGTAGTAGTACTTCGTAGTACACACTAAAACCTAGCCACCGGGGAGTATTCTGGCTCCTCCTAGTGACGGTACCAAGATACAGTGGTGAAGGTTGTGTCACGAAGGGCTGCGTCCAGGGTTGACAAAGACGGCCTCTGTTGCTGCGGACCAATAGGGTGCCAGCTGGGAATCGAACCTCTGTCGTAACAACTGAATTCATCAAAACTCTCATACACTCTGGTGACGTCTGCACTTGATTTTGTTTTGCTAACCCCCTACCTTCTGTTGCCTCGAAACTATTTCCCGCGTCCCGCCGCGCTTTAGCATTGTCTGTTAGCATTGTCTGTTAGCAACTCATGCTTAGTGTTGGGTTGGTGAGCTCACACTACCTGATGGCGTCCAGATTCGAACCCGTTTGATTGAGGTCAGTTAGCGTCCACTCCCTCACACACTAACAGGCTTTAGCGCCAACTAGTGGTTGTCCTAAACTAGTGCAGTCTAGCATTTGTAAACCAGACGTGAGGACATCAGACAGGCAGCTCTGTGGTCAGACACAGCGTCTGATTGGTTGGGTCCAGTACCGATCAATATTAGGTCCAAAAAGACAAGTCCTTTAAGGCTGGAACTGACGAGAAAAGTTCTGCACCGACGACACACATTCACATCCTAGAAATGTCTGCTGCACCAGGGCCTCAGATTAAGTCATCAGACAAATTAACACACACAGAGAGAGAGAGAGAGAGAGAGAGAGAGAAAGAGAGTGTGTGATGTGACAGTTAAAGTGACAATTCTTCTAATAACTGATGTTGTTTACAGTCTGCCCTCAGGCTCTTCCTCTCTGCTCACAGACTGCGCTCTAAGTCACTTTACTACACAGTCTGTGAGCAGTCTGTGAGCAGTCTGTGAGCAGTCTGTGAGCAGTCTGTGAGCAGTCTGTGAGCAGTCTGTGAGCAGTCTGTGAGCAGTCTGTGAGCAGTCTGTGAGCAGTCTGTGAGCAGTCTGTGAGCAGTCTGTGAGCAGTCTGTGAGCAGTCTGTGAGCAGTCTGTGAGCAGTCTGTGAGCAGTCTGTGAGCCCCGTGTATCCACAGGAACCAAAGTGTTGAGTAAGGAGCGCTCCCTGATAAGACATAATAAAACAAATGAGTAAAAAGGCAGGATGTGCCCGGAGACGCAGATCAAACCCCGACCTGAAACGCCCTGGGACGTTACTTACTTTTTGATTTATACTATTTTTCACTTTGCCTCCAGCTGATGGGGTTTTTATTCAGGTCTTACAGATGACTGTACATTTTTCCCTGCCAGCTCACATTGATCTGTGGTAAAAATCTGAGGGAGGGAGCCGGTGTTTTGACTGAGGACGGACTGAAAATGTTTAGAAAAGCATGATTTTGTCTCGGCGTCGAGCTCCAAAGACAAATATGAAATAGTTTTTCCTTGAGATTCCTGATTAGTAAAGGTGGTCTTGGAAATAAGATGTGGTTAGCCAGAGGGGTTTTCTTATGAAAACCTAATTCTGGGTGTCAGCTGTGATTTGGTTGAGTTAGGGGGGGTTCGGGGGGGGGTTATTATTAAGGCTAATCC